CTAGTGTATTAATTGAAAATATTAAAATGTCCTCAGATTTCGGAGATGCAACTCCAGACGCACCTTGAGTATATAGAACTCTAAGTTAATGTTTAAAAACTCTGGAGATACATCTTCAAATATGTTTCGGAGATGCATCTCCGAAAAGGTATCAGAACCTAAAACGTATCATAACCCTTCTCATTCCTCATTTCTAAAAAACGTAAAAATTTCTCAAACCCTCAAAAAAAAATTTATCAACCAAGTCCAAAATCAAACAACCAAACTCAAAGGTTCTTAAATCAACATCAAGTACATCAGAGGCATCATCCAACACTAAACTTTAAATTTGTAAGTTTTTGATATTTTGAAAAGTTTTTTGAGTTTTTGTGTAAATAAGTAGAAATTGATGATTTAGGTAAGAAATGAGTAGAAGTTGCATGAATGATAGTTTATACATATTTTAAAACATGTTTGTTGGTTGAAAATAACAATCAAACCATTGTATTTTAGGTTTGTATGTCTGCATTGCCGCCATTGAAGGACCTGAAGAGTTGTGAAAATTTTCGGAGATGCATATCCAGAATTTTTCAACGTTTAGTTTCCTAGTAACCGGAGATACATCTCTAGAAATTATCAGTATGTTTTTTTTCCTTGTTTGTAATGTTGCTTATACTAATTGTCTGGTTTACTTACAAGCATTATATATGGTTGATAGAAACGATAGACTGAGGCGCGGGAGGATTGCACAACATGCATCAGTGCTGAGGGAGAAAAGTCAGGTTTCAGAGGTTCCTGTTCACTTTAGCCATGCAAAGGAATCTACTTCTATGACTCATGGTTCTCCATTTTCTTCTTCCCGTAAAAGACGCGTTTCACCTACCGATGCATCACTCCATCCATCCTCCCGCAGGCGGCAAGTTTCACCTATTTAGACGCCAGGTACCTGAGTCACCAGTGGTACCTGAGACATTAATGCCACCTCCGACTGATGATGCTTTTGAGGCAGTGCCGCCTCTAGCTGCTAAGGCTACTGAGCCAGTGCCACCTCCAGATGGTGAGGCTGCTGGAGATGATGAGCCAGAGCCACCTCAGACATTTGGAGAAGACCTTGTAGAGTTGTCACTAATGCCTTTGTACCCAGACCATACTGTCAAATATATATAGGACGAGAAGGTAACATTAGTTGGATTCATTCTTTTTAATCTACGTTTATTATTATATTACAAGTTACTGACATTGGTTTATTTTCCTGCAGGACTGTGATCCGCTGAAGTTTATTAACCACGAGCGAAAGATTACTAGCTTGCCTCAACCGAATGATGAATGGTTTTAGGCAACTTTGTCCGTATCTGGGATGAAGGACTTGTGCATGATCGGTTGTATTACGGTCAACCACTAGATGCTTAGTGCATTCATGGAGAGATGACACACCGAGACCTTATCATTTCATATCCCGCTTGTTGAGATGTCTATCACACTCGATGATATGTCGTGTTTTCTGTATCTTCTGGCCAGGGAGAAACTTCTAGATCGTGGGAAGATTAGTAGAGACGAGACACTCGAAATAATGGTAGACTATCCGGGAGTTGACCCAGAGGATGCCATGACGAAGATGGAAAAAACCAGAGGGCTCATACAAGGTTTGAATTCCTGGAAAAAAAAGTATATACATATGAGATCCTTAGAGCACATGAGGCTAGAGGTGATGACGAGCTGGTGAGGCTTCATAGAGCGTATGTTATGAGAGCATATCTGCTATATTTAGTTAGCACTATGATTTTTGTGGATAAGAGTGTCACTTATACAAATGTCATCCATTTTGGAGTATTTCGAAGACTTTGAGCGGACCTATGAGTACAACTGGGGGCCGATTGTTTCGTCTACTTGTACTCGAAGTTATCAGAGGGTTGTATGTGGAAGATGAAGCAGGTCACATGCAACATCACACTACTGACAATAATATTTATTAGTCTTTTAATGTTTCTGCGTCATTTCCATTACATTTTTGCAATGCCCTTATTGATGATTTGTGTGTTCCAACACTTTTCAAGATTGGATCCTCTAACACTTCTCGCGCATCTCCTAATGGTCTTGTGTGTTGACTTATATTGAGGATATATCGCGTGCGTATGCATTTTCCTCACTCAGAAAGGAACCAGGCGATATAGTCGTTCAAAGTGTATCTTGACCGCTTAGTTGCTAAAGACATACACTTCAACAACTATGTCGATCATTGTCAGACGCAATCATTTGACGACATAGTGTTATACTCAGGATGATTGACTTGCGAGTCACGTCTCACTGCTCCTCAATTTTCTAAGTGCGTGATGCAGCAGTTTGACTACACTCTGACCATTCCCAGACACCCTACTATATCTGCTCCTCCTGCTATGACACACAGAGACGTGGATCTCATGTTTTATGATTATTAGAGTCATCTGGTATCGGAGGAGGCACGAAGTACCATAACTGAGAGTGATTAGAGTTATGTCGACGGGTACATCAGGTGGTTCTTCAGGGTGTCACATTCATATATGGTGCAAGCTACTCTAGGATATCCACCGAGGACAACTCATCAGGAGATATTAGAGGAGGAGTAGGCACAATTAGATCATGCTCGTGATGTCCTGCCTATATGTTGTCGCATAGTGGAGATTGCGCAGACAGACATTGACAGAGGTATCTTCCCTGATGGGTCTGAGGTGAGGCACGTCTTGGATGCCATTATGACGGAGACACGAGAGACACTGATGTACTGGAGACAGCGTCGGAGGATGGGGGTAGTGGACGCCGAGGAGCCAGATGAGTTGTAGTCTGGCATACGCAGTAGTATACAGTAGTTGCACTTTTGATACATTATGAATTGAATTTTATTTTCACTTCATTATTCTTTATCGTGTATTTCGACTTTATTTATATATGTCATTTTTGGACCATCTAAATTTATATGTCATTTTTTACATACTGAATGTATGGTTTAAATCTCATGACATAACATGGTACACATTTATAAATCATCACTTTCATCGGTATAAATCATAAAATAAACATAATATAAACTGTTCTTATAAAGTACGAAGAAACATCTTCATAAACCATAAACAAAGATACATCTTCAAAATGATAAACGCAAAAATATCTTTTCTATTAAAATACATAATGTATGTTTTAAAATATTTGTGCGGCACAAAGCCCAACTAACTAATTTAAAAAAAAAATAGTTGAAATAAATGGTACTACAAAAATACATTTTATATGTGAACATGGCTCAATTTTCTATAGGTAGCCGACACACCACTACCTTAGTCCTAACACCAACCTTACATAGCCCACATGCACTATCATTCATTCACACTATCATAAAGATAGAATCAAATATGCAACCCTTCCAATAGAATTGAATTTGTCACAACTCTATTGTGGATTCATTCAATAACTTAATTAAATTTCAAAGAGCCCCACAATTGAGCATTGATGTGTGTTTATCCAAATCCAACCAAAGCAAAGAGAGAAAGTGTGGGTCAAGGCAACTTCATCATATATTTATATTCAATTCAATGGCATGTGTTTGTACATATGTTATTGTCAGATTTTCACACTTCTTTGCGTATCCATTATGCAATAACTATCAACCAATCATATCACTCACCTATTTTTTCTCAACTTTATTGCTGCTTTTTGTATTATATTCTTTATTTATTTTTAAATATTTAATGCAAAAAGTTCAACCATTCAATATCAACAATAAAATTTTAAATTTTATTGTTTTGTCATGTACTCTAATGATTATAATTTATTCTTCATACACATTGTTTGTATTTGTATTATACCCTTAATTCATTTTTAAAATATTTAATGCAAAAGGTTGAACAATTGAATATCAATAATAATATTTTAAAATTTTAATTTTATATATATATATATATATATATATATATATATATATATATATATATATATATATATATATATATATATATATATATATATATATATATATATATATATATATATATATATATATATATATATATATATTATATAGTATTTGAATAATATATAAATCAAATATATTAATTATTCAATAAAATTTAAAAATAATTTTTTTATGAATAAAATTAAGAAAAGCATTTTAATAAATTTATCTTGTATTTTATATAAAATTAAACAATTAATAATAATAATTGATTAAATTTTTTAACAAATATAAAATAGATTTGCTTATCTGTAATGATAGTTAGAGAGAATGTATTTATATTCGTCAACATCTTTCTAATTAAAAGTAATTACTAAATTTATATAAGTCAATTGCGGGATTTTAAACTAAAATTCCAATCATATTGATTATATGTGTCATTTGTAATTAATTTATTTTAAATGTTGTTTTTAAAATAGAGACACTAATTTTTTTTAAGAGTTAAAATATGTTAAATAGTTTATAAATCTTATCTTAATTGACAAAATTTGATATTGTTAAGTTGAGTACCCAAATTCAAATTCATTTTAGATTTCATTGTGAATTTCTAATAACTAGTATCAATTAACTTTCATAAAACATGTTTAAAATATTTTAAAAACTTTTCTTTCTAGAATTTGCATAAAAATAACATTTTCTAAATATTCTATAATTTGTTCATTGTATCTTAGTTTTGAGGTTGTTGGTTTCTCCTAGCTGTGCCCTAGTACTACCCACAGAATAATTGTGGTTTGAAAATAATATTTTTTTAAAAATTATTTTTTAATTTTGAGTATTAATATTAATATTTAATATTAATTAATATATTTACCATATACTACTTTTTATTCTCTCTATTTTAAAAATTATTAAAATTGCTACCAAAACCATTACCATCCCCAATCCTGAAATTCTTGAAGCTGAGAAAGAAAAATTTGTCCTTTTCTAAAAACCCATTGTTTAGCCCTTATTTGCTATAAGAAAATCCATCTGGGCTACGGAAAAAATAAAAAATTTGAGAGATTTTGAAGAGTGATGTGCAAATTGAAATTGGTGAGTAAAAATGGCGAATCTTGTTCCTGGAGTGCTTTTGAAGCTGTTACAACACATGAACACTGATGTGAAGGTTGGTGGTGAACACAGATCATCGCTTTTACAAGTTGTTAGCATTGTTCCAGCTCTTGCAGGTGGTGAACTTTTCCCAAATCAAGGTTTTTATCTTAAGGTTTCAGATTCATCTCATGCTACTTATGTTTCTTTACCTGATGAACATGATGATTTGATTTTGAGTGATAAGATTCAATTGGGTCAGTTTGTTTTTGTTGATCGTTTTGAAGCTTCTTCTCCTGTTCCTGTGATTAGGGGTGTTAAGCCTGTTCCTGGGAGACACCCTTGTGTTGGTACTCCTGAGGATATTGTTGCTACTCATTCACTTTCGTTTCTTGATAACAATGATAATGACACTAGGAAGAATAAGAATGATGTTGTTGTTAATTCTGAGAGTCCTAGGAATAGGAATGTGTTTGGTGTGAAGGAGAAAGAGAAGAAGGAGAGAGGGAGGTTGAGTTTTGGCGGTGTTATTGTTAATAAGGAGGAAGGGTTAGAGAAGAAGGAGAGAGTGAGATTGAGTTTTGGTGGTGGTGGGAGTGTTAAGGATGAAGGGTTAGAGAAGAAAAGAGGGATTTTTGGAAGAGGTAGTAGTAAAAGTGAGTCTTTGAAACCAAAACCAATGTTGAAGGTTGATGTGAAGAGGGAATCGTTACCTCAATCGTCGTTAACTAGAGTGAGGTCGGCGAATTCAAAGTCGATTCCTTCTTCGCCTAGTAGTGTTTATTCGTTGCCGAATTCTTTTGAGAAATTTTCTAATGGTGTTAAGCAGCAGAGAGCAAAGGTTGGTGGTAAGGGAGTGGAGAAGGTTGCGGGAGCGGTTGATGCGGGAAAGGTTGGGAAAAAAATCGGTTTGGGAAATCCAATTAGAAATTTGGTGCAAGGTTTTGATTTTGGTGCTAAGGCTCTAAGAAAGAGTTGGGAAGGAACTATGGAGATCAAGACTAAAGAGTCTTCCAAAATCAAGGGCGCTGCTGCTAAGCCGGTAGTTCAAAGCTCGGTAAGTTTGATTCACCATTTATGCTTTTTAGCATCTATTGATGTCAATTGTTTGGTTCAATTGTAACTTCCTTTCAAATTTCATGTCATACTTATTATGCGGTATTCGTTTGAGTAATGATATATTGACGCACAAATTGTGGTTAATAATGAATTTCGTGTATATTTGAATGATTAATTTAATGGATATATGCATATTTAAATGCTCGAAAACGTGATCGTTGACATTCAAAGTTGTGGCTAATTGTGTTTAGTGGATGGTAAACGAGTTGTAACGTGTTTAGTGGATGGTTAACGAGTTGTGACACCTTGTTATATTCATTAATCATCCACTGAACATAACTTACCGCGTATTTGAACTGTGTTAACCATTTAAATTGTTGTTGAAATTTGATATCGAATTTGTGTATCTAACTAACGCAACTCATTAGTTTAGATCTTATGTTTGTGTAGGTTTAAATTACCTTGGATTTCATTTCCTTTGTCTTTTGAGTCAATCAAACTCAATTTATATTCTTACTTCCATTTTATGGTTTGTCAGATTCCTAGGAGAAGCATGGCAACTGATAAGTTGCCGTCTAGAGAGGTTAAAGCCCCGATAAAGCCCTCTAAGGAAGAACATAAGGCTCAATTGTCTACAAAGAAGGTTACTACTAATGGAAATATAGAGGAACAAGAGAAATCAAGTAAACAAAGGACTTCCTTTGTAAAGAAATCGGCGGAAGTTTCAAATAACGGATTACCTGGAAACATGGTCAAAGTTTCTTTAAGTAGTAGAAAAGTGACAGATTCAAGTGTTCAATGGGCGTCACTCCCGTCATCTATTTCAAAGCTTGGAAAGGTAATTTTGATTGAAGAATCCTCGTGTCACTTTTTCATTTAAGTTCTTTGACTCTTGATTGCATTAATGTCTTGCGAGATTTTGAAAAAGTATCAGATGAGTTTTACCGAAACGACTCTAAAAAGGAAAATATTAGATTCATGATCACATCAGTGCTGTTGTTGGCGGATGGCGGAGAGCCAAAATCCCGCCATATTGGCCTCTTTGTGGCGCCGTTATAGCAGGTTATGGCAGGAAAACCCGCAATATCGGACGATATTTACCATTGCGGCAACCCCAAAAACCGCCATGGATATCCGCCATAGTGGCCATTGCGCTGCAATTTGATAACATCGGATCACATATATAATAAGTAGGATGCAAGTATAATACATTCAGTTCATATGAACGGATTGTGCTTGCGCCAGATGATATTCTTTGTCTTTGTTCTCAACACATTAGCTTCACTCGATGAATGCGTTTTTCAGATAGATTATATTGTGGTGTGCTGAATTAAGATGAAAAGTTACGCATCTGTTTCATTTTGTTCTTATTTCGTGTTCATATTTTTATGATAGGACGTAATGAAGCACAGAGATTCTGCACAGCTGGCTGCAATTGAGGCTATGCAAGAAGCCGCAGCAGCCGAGAGTTTGTTACAATGTCTGAGGTAAGACTATTTTGAGACTCTGACCAAACATGATATCTCTGGCAGTATCTATTCTGAATTCGCAATTCGATGCTACATATTGTTGCTGACACTTTTTTGCGATGTTTTTGGCAGTATATATTCGGAGCTGACTAATTCTGCGAAGGAACATAATCCGCAGCCAGCAGTAGAGCAGTTTTTATCGCTTCATGCAAGCCTAAATAGTACCCGGATGATTGCAGAATCCTTATCTAAACCCATTCAAGATGGTTCGTCTCCGGATTATGAAAATAGCAAACTGGAAGAAGCGCTAAAACAAAAATCAGATAGACAAAAACAAGCGGCTTCTTGGGTCCACGCCGCCCTGGCCACCAACCTGTCGTCTTTCGCCGTTTTTTCAAAGGAAGCTTCAAGTAATAATTCTCAAACTCAAAAGACTGCAGTTGGAACTCAACCCGCGTTAGTCCTACACAATTCAAGCGAAAACTCATCGTCGAAAGCTCGCGTAAAACCTCGTCCAACAGTTCATTCCAAGCTTGTCTCACAAGGCATCATTCCTCGCAAATCGACCGATTCAGCAAACGGACACAAGCAACCAGTCCAACCACCCCCAGAATGGATTAAAGGAAACGGTCTCGACGAGGTCGCTGATTTGGCTGAAATGTTGCAGGTACAATCCCGAGACTGGTTTTTGGGATTCGTCGAAAGATTCTTGGACAGTGACGGCGACACTACCTTATCAGATAACGGCCAAATAGCAGGTATGCTCACTCAACTGAAGAGCGTAAACGATTGGTTAGACGAGATAGGATTGAACAAAGTCGAAGGAGAATCCTGCCAGATATCAGCAGAGACAATTGACCGACTAAGGAAGAAAATATACGAATATCTTCTCACGCACGTCGAATCCGCGGCAGCTGCACTTAGCGGCGGATCACAATCACAATCAAAATCACAAGCATTGCCTCAAATCCAAACAACACAGATTAAAGCCAAAAGATGAATGAATGAATGATTGAGTACATAACTTAGCTTAACAATGCAGAATTGTAGGAATGAGTGGGATTAACCTTATTTTCTTCTCTCTCTCTCTCTATCTTCTGTTTGTACATAAATCCTATATGGGGTTTGAGGTATAGATGGAGTGCTAATTATTTGTTAATGGAGACAACAAATATGATTTCTGAGAATATTGTTGTTTTTTTTTTCTTTCATTTTTCTGATTATTTTTCAGATGAAACTATACAAATTGAAACAGTGAAAGATATCAGCAGACATTATTTTTTCTACTTCTCATTTGCCTAGAATGTTGTTTTTGTATAGTTTTGTCTCAATCATTCATATTCCTATGTTTTCCACCTTGTTTTTTCTAGCAAAAAAAGCAAGAAAGAAAGGGACACTGTACTATTGTTTTAAATTTAAAAGTATCATTATCCATAAAAACAGAATATCATTAGTACCAAAAATATTTTTATTAATTTCTATGAATAAAATTAACTCATTTCTTTCTTATTTTTATTTTTATTAATCTATGTTGATAAACTTAAGAATTATATATTGTTTTAAATTTAAAAGTATCTTATTCTATAATATCTGCATTATTTTTATATCTCTATATATTACACTAAAAGTAATTATCTCTCTACATATTATCACTATCTCGAACTCATTTCATTTTATTTTCTGTTTTATTAATCTCTCAGTAAATTTAACTCGACTTTTTAATTAATTTTTTTGGTTAAAGTTCTTTTTAATTTATATTAATTTTTTTAAAATTCATATTATTTTAAAGTTAATAGTTTCATTATATATAAAAATATGGTATTATTATTATTATTTTTTATTAATCTCCATTAGTAAACTTGGCTCGTTTTTATTTCTATTTTTTATATTAGTAAATTTTTAGTGAATTTCATATTGTTTTAAATTTAAAGTATTATTATTATATTTGTTAAAAAGTAAAACATGTGACAACCTTTAGGAATATAGGGAGGTTAAAATAGAGAGGTGATAAGATACTACTATGTTTTTAGAGTTATGTATTTATAAGAGTTTTTGGGTATGGATTTCAGATATTTAGGAAGTAACAATTGTTATTAGGAGTAGGGGATTATTGCAACACAAAATTAAGTTTGTAATTATTGTATTAATGAAGATTAGTGTTTTCAAAGACAGTTCAGTAGTTTTTAAAATTTTAAGTAGAAAAAAATTTATATTTGTTTTGATGCGTAAAAAGTAAATAACAGAAAGTAAAATGGAAATTTTAGTGTTAAGAGTAAGAAAACTTGTTAGGGGTAAATTTCGCGATTATGTATTTATCATGTATACAATCATATGTCAGTAATATGATAATCTATTAAGCTATTAATATTATCGCTTATTGCTTTCATTTGTATCACTTATCGATCTCAAAGCTCTGAGATCAATGAATTACCTAATAACTAATATTTCGGTTTATTAACCAATGCAGATCATTAGGTTCAAATATTTATAAAGTGGCAAGATCCCACACCGGTCCTACTAAAGTACATGCAAATATTGAACTTAACCATATTTCTATGCATTAATATCCAATAGATGATTATCTTGGATCTAATAATGACAAACACCTTTTGAATGTCAAGTCATACCGTGAAAACAAGTTTTAGGTAGCAAATCTAAAACAGACATTAAGATTAAAGAGTCATCAATACAAAAGCTTGAGTAGACTTTCATAAAATATTGTGACCTATTTAATACACGAATATAATGACTACGTGTAACCTACAACAAAAAGATTTTAGCTACGCTTACTTATCGTAGTTGTTCCTGTAATCCTCGAAGCTGAGCTTGAAAGTTTAGCTGCCCTGTCAACTGAGCAACAATTTCACCTTCAAACTTCCTCTCTTATTCTTTTGTTGTATACCAATGTGAGCCTACTCTAATTCTATACTACCTCACTCCACTGAAACTTCATTTGAACTGAATTGGAAGCCTGTATCTATAGGTTAGGATTTAAGCTCCTCGCTAGGTGTATTGCCCTTGCGCCTAGAGAGCATACTTTCTTCTCAATTAAGTAATACTAGTTGTTTGACAGGTGGCCCTAGTCGCCTTGCCTCTATAAGTGCACTGCCTCTGCGCTTAACGCATAAACTCTTTCTTCACCATGAAGAACTTGATCCTAAAAGTACCATTTGGCCTTTTGAGCTTGCCTATGTCCAGGTCTAGCAAGTCTTGCACTTTAGGATTTTGCTTTAGCTTAGTCTTTGCATGTTAAATTAAGGGGTGAGAAACATAAGAATGAGGGGTTTAAATTGGGTTTCGCCAAATATGATCTTTTGTGGAAATTCAAACTTCAATGCTAACAAGAGAATAAAAATAAATAGACACGATTATTTTTATCCTAGTTCACTGTTAACAAAAGTTACTCCAGTACACCCACCAAGGTGATTTTGCCTTAGACAAGGACTTAATCCAATAATCTCAACATATTGAAATCAATATAACTTAGACTACCGTTCTTGTTGCAAACCACAATGGATAACCTCCATTGTCTTCTTGAGAATTCTGATTATACCCTAGTCTCTCAAAGAACTATCAACCATTGTTAATTATAAATGTGTGTATAAAGAGATGCTTCTAGATAAGCAGATTGCACAAGTTTAAGTACAATAGCACATAAGTATTTCTAACAAGATATGAACAACAATTCCTTGCTAATTTACAAAACTATCTTAAGAATAATCTCCTAGAGATTTGCATCGTATCAGCATGATTTTTGTTGAGCTTAAAAGCTTCTTTTAATGCTTCTCTCTTTTTCATATAGAGCAGCGCTCTATTTTGGTTGAGCTTCAAACATCTTCTTTTTGGCTTATAACTTGGTATTTTGCTTCCGCTTTGCACACACACTCTCGTGTTTTTTTCATCTCTTTATCTTCTTGTTCTAGTTATTCTCTCATGATTTCCTTTTTGGCTCTTCTAGCTCTCAGGACATCATCTCTCTTTGTTTGTCGTTGCTCGTCACTTCTCATCTTGTTCTTCAAGCTTTCATATCTTCAATATATAGAGCTTAAGAATAGATCCGTTGAAGGGTATAATAGGAAACAATTTCCAACTGTAATTTTCCAACTTTCACTTGAAGGAATGGTCATATCATAATACAAAAAGTTGTCCTTGCGCCACCTTTTGTAGGTAGATGTCACAGACTATTTTGTACTTTTATATTCAACACTTTATCAACCATTCTTGATTTCCTGTCTTTTAATTCTTGAGAGGCTTTAGATGTATAATTGATGAAGCATGTTGTAGAGAGACCAATACTTGTAACTTCAGAACCTAAGTCTTCAGAGTCTCATATCTTCGTTCAGCAGAACCTTGTCTTAAAAGTCTTCAACACTTAGTCTTTTAGAAGTGATGTCTTCAGAAACTTCATAACTCGTTCAACAGAACCTCGTCTTCAGAATCTTTAGAACTTTGTTAAGCACATTCTTGTCTTCAGAGTCTTCATAACTTCGTTCAATAGAACATTGTCTTCAGAAACTTCAGAACTTTGGAGCAATAGAAATGATGTCTTTAGAATCTTCAGAACCTCGTTTAACAGAACCTTGTCTTCAGAATCTTTTGAACTTATTCAGTATATACTTGTCTTCAGAGTCTTCATAACTTCGTTCAACAGAACCTTGTCTTTAAAAACTTCAGAACTCAGAGCAGTTAGAAGTACATCTCTTAGAAAGCCTTAAAGGCTTTACGCATAATGTTACAATCAGAAGCTTTAGTATAAACATTGTTCAGAACTGTTGCATTAAAAGTATTCCTAAGTTTTGACTTTATCTTGTACACAACATATGTTTTCTTCCAGAGTGTTTAGATCAGAGCCTAATAATGTCACACACCTTTCTATCAGATTCAGATCCAGTTTAACAAAAGCTACACACTAGACAGAAACCATAAAGTATTGAATTGTTCTCTAGGATAACATGTGCAGTTATCATCAAAACTTAAGTCCAGATGCAGAACCAAACTTGTTTTTACACTAAATTGTGGTTTTCTAGTCATTTTTACTACCTACTTTTCGTTAATGCATGCCAGGAAAGTACAAACACGTGTTCTATCACTTTTCATATAGAAATTGGGGGAGGGGGTGTATTGATTGCTTTTAAAAATAAGTTAATAAGTGCTTATGTATTTTACTTAAATCTAACAATCATCAACTCTCTCTAACTTATCTTTTTGTTTGTCTTCAAACAAAATCAATCAAAGAGTTCATAAATATTTTGAATGAATGTTTCATTTAAACAGTTGACTAACTCAGGTCAAGAATTTTGAAATTTTTTATGGCATGACATTCTTTTAAATGCAAGTTCATAATCAATGTCATGACTATTCACAAACCATGGCATATAGATGAATCATTTGCTTGACCAAAGTAAAATTTTAAACCATGTCTAGATCAACAATTAATCATTTATCCGAATCATGATCTCATTGAGTATCTCTCAATGGTTAGTGTTTTTCTCATGAATATCAAACAATAATTGAATTATAGAATCACTTTGTATTTTGTCTAAAGAGTATGAACAGATATATCATCAGTCTTGGATCACTAAGGTCTTTCTTTAGGTTGTAATATGGCTAAGCTTAAAAGAATATTGATTTTTTTATTCAAAAGCCTAAATACAAGAGAGCATAAAGTATTTCTTTCTAAAATTTTCTTTCTTTAAGTTCATTTTCTTACAATCATTTCCTTTTGGTGATTTTTATTTTTGTATGCTTGACTTTTGATTTTTGAATTGTTTTATGTCGGGGAATTTTCTTTTGCTAAATTGGTACTACTTGAATTTTCTTTTTCAAATCATTTCTTTTTTTTCTTTTTTCTCATCAACTACCGTTTTTGCAATACCCTTGCTTTTACATGTTCTCCTATCCTTAAGATAAGGTGGTGAATATTACTTTTCTTTTAAATCGACTAAGGGTTGTAACATTTAAAGAACAATTTTTTTTCATTTTAAGTTCAATGGGGTTGTT